GCAGCGTCATCGCCCGGGGCCCCGCGATCCTGCCCCGGGTCCGTATCCCCTCCTCCTCTCCCCTCTTGTCCCAGGGCCACCCGCCAGCTCGCCTCCCACACAAAAGCAGCAGATCTGCACCCAAACTGTCACACATGCTCGTGAAATCCACCCGCCACCCCGGGGGTCACAGTTCGATCGACTCCCGGTCAGGGCACATGCCGGGGCCCAGAGGGGCCCAAACAGGTCCTCCCGCCCCCAGACCCTACCCACAGGGGCGTGAGCAGCGCTACTTGTCCCCATAATCCTGTCCGTCAGTATAACTGCGTGTCAGCCACATCAGCACGAGGACAGCGAAGCCGTGGCCAGGACACGCGGGGCCGTGCGTGGCGCCTACCTTGGGGCCGGTCTGGCCGGGCATCCCTCTCGCACCGTCGCTGCCAGCCCGGCCCTGGGACACAGGAGGAAGGGGTCAGCACCGAGCGGCGGCTTCCGTGAAGCCGAGGACAGCGCCTGGCCAAGTGGCCAGGACCGGAGTCCAGCTGCTGGACGCCTCCAGGGGGTTCTGCTCCTGGCCTCGCCGTCGGGGTCGGCCCGCAGGGGCGACGCCACATGCCCCTCTGTGCCTGGAGGTGATGGCATGAGGCGCAGGCCAGACCTCTCGGGGAGAGGGACTAAGGGGCCAGGTCTGCCTGTGGGGCTGCCCCAAGACTCGGGGGAGCGGGGCCCCGCCATCCAGCCAGCTCAGTTCCTTCCCGCCGCTCGGAATTCAAGCTAAAGTCTGGATATCAGGCCCGGCCGCGCGGCTCAGGGGCTGAGCACCGACCTGTGAACCAGGAGGTCCCGGAGCCATTCCCGGCCAGGGCACAGGCCACCCCCAGAGGGGGGCGTGCAGGAGGCGGCGATCAATGATTCCCTCTCATCACTGATGTTTCTCTCTCTCCCCCTTTCCCTTCCTCTCTGAGTCAATCAAAGTATATTTTTAAAAATGTTTGTTAAACTAAATGCACACGCGGAGGCTGGAGGCCGGAGTCCGGGGAGGCAGAGGCCGGCGAGTCCCGGGAGAAGCTCATGGGCTCGGCTCGCCCGGGAGGGGGACCGGCAGGGAGACGGCTCCGCCCAGGACAGGAGGCAGCAACCGGCTTCCGGCCCAGCCTGCTCGGTGGGCGTGGAGGGCACAC